GGTTCAACCGTTCTATCGGTTCTAAATGTTGATCCGAATCATTTTTAATACCGGATACCGGTCCGATCTGATTTTTAAAACGTTGCCAAAACCAACCAAACTCAATCCCAATTACCCAAAACCCAAATTCAAACCCAAACCCAAACCCAAAACCCATCAGAACCCAAACCAAAATTACCCAAAAAAATAAAAAAAACCCAAACCCAAAACCCGTTTAACCCAAACCCAAAAACAAAGAATAAAAAAGAAGGTGTCTGGAACCTTCTCTTTCCCCATCAAGTATGTTTTCTTCTCCCCCCCCTTTGCCCCTGCACCAGCAGCCATCACCGTGCCAGCCTTCTCCCTGCACACCCGAATCAGCTTCCTCTCCCCTCTGCACCGCGCCCAGCTCCTCTGCACCGAGCCATCATCGCCCCCTCGCACGCCCAGCCTTGCTGCACCAGCCCTGCACCTACGCCCAGCCTTGCTGCACCAGCCCTGCACCTACGCCCCTGCTCCCTGCTCAGCACCCCTAGCTCCTACGCCCCTAGCTCATGCGCCTAGCCTTGCTCTGCACCGAGCCCTGCATCCCTGGCCTCTGCGCGCCTGCATTCTGCGCCCAATCCCTGCCCTGCACCGAGCCCTGCCTTGCACGCTTCTGTTCCCTCTCCTCTGCGCCTCACTGCCGGCCTTGCTTCCTGCACCTGCTCTGCACCGAATGCGTCAATCTCCAGCTCTGCACTGGCCATCACCGGCAATCATGTCATGCATGCCTACACCCCTCTGCACTCTCCCCTCTGAACCCCTGGCCTCTGCTCGCCGAATCAGCTTCCTCTCCCCTCTGCACCGCGCCCAGCTCCTCTGCACCGAGCCATCATTGCCCCCTCGCACTCCCAGCCTTGCTGCACCAGCCCTGCACTCATTATCCCTCCTTGCTTGCTGCCTGCTTCGCTGCGCCTATATGCACTCATCACCCGCCTCTTCCCCGAACCAATCGCCAGCCGATCCCGCACTCATTACCCGCTGTAACCCGATCTTGCAC